CTATCAGCAAGGAATATGCCCCAAACTTAGACAATAATTCAACCTTGAAAAACAGCAGGAAAAAACGGGTCAGTTTGTTTCTGAAGAAGATATTCTATTAGGGTTTTATAACTAGTACCATAACATCAGTTTCATACTACCAACTACTTAAATTACCATAAAATAACCTCTCTATTGACTACATATGTCAAAAAAAAAAGGAGAAAAAAACCTTATTCGTTCTATCAATGGGGCTAATGAATGATTGCACATTCATCAACAGATTAATGTGTATGTAGTATGAAGAGACAACTCCATGTAAGACCTACTGAAATACTCTTATTCTACATGAAATTTAAAACATTTCATCGTAAATAATTATCCAATCTGTTGCTCATTTCAGTGTCAAATCTACAGTGCCATTCTCACTATATTCTTTTCACTATGTTATTCCCAAAGCCACTATTTTCCTGAAATCTGAAAATCAATCACAATTATCTTTTCATTTAACTATTGGACCTCAGCTTTCTATTTCACAGGGGTTTGACATTTTCAACTGCCTATAAGCAAATTAGGGATTAGTAAAATGTTTTACTTTAGCCTGATACATACCATTGGGTTCATCAAAAAGTCTGTCCAGCCCCATGATTCTCTTTTAATAAAATAAGAAGGTGGACCTGTAGATTTCATTTGGAGAGGATAGGGCAGTCTGACCACTTCTGATGTTTTGATGTAATTCACATATCTTGCTCTGATAAAGCAACATGAGAAAACCATCAGTAATTCTACTGAAAATATTGCTAGTCAAAAGAATTATTAATAATATATTAGCAATGCCTTATATATACCTTTAGCATTTTCCAAAATGCATTGCCATCTAAACTTTTCATCTTAAAAATATGATCACAGTAGTTTTATTTGTGTGTCTAAAATACTCAGCAAAACAAAAAGAAAGAACACTAGACTTGGAATCTTCCAGTTGTAGCTGTCATAACCTAGGCCTATGAGGTTAAACAAGTTCCTTAACTTCTATTGTTCTTTTTTCAAAA